AAATGTCACTTCTGGCAACTTATTCTCCTTCCTTGTTCTTGGCAACTTCTTGATCTCAAGATCTTTGTCAGAGACGTGAAAATCAATATAATAAAGACACAAGGAACCAAAAATTATTTCATTGCTTTCTCAAAGGAAAAAGAGTTTTATACAGAAGTAACAGTTATTCTAAAAAATTACAAGTGTCTGGCATTCTCCAAACTTTCCAGTCCAAGTCATAGCTTTATTATCTTGACTGTCTGAGCAGGTTGGGATTATTACAAGGGAGGACAACAGGGAAGGGGAATATTAACAATACCACTGCCCTAGAGCAGTGGTCCCCAACCTTTTTGACTCTAGGGACTGTTTTCATGGAAGACAATTTTTCCATGGACCGGGGAGAGGGAGGATGGTTTCAGGATGGTTGAAGTGCATTACATTTATTGTGCACTTTATTTCTATTATTATTACATTGTAATACATAATGAAATAATTATACCACTCATCATGGTTGGGGACCCCTACCCTAGAGAATCCTTAATATCCCAAGGACCTCAGACCCATTAGCCTCAAGGGATATGTGGCATCACAGGTGTAAATTGCCTGACTTTTAAAAAATATAACTAATCAGCTGTGCTGGAGGAGACTGTAATAGCAGGGAAACAGAACAAATAGCTACTCTAAGAGTTACGTATTCTTACAGCTTATTCCTGCCGATATGGGGAAAATCCTATTTTTTATCCCCTGAAACTTAAAAGTATTAGTTATTTCTTTTCTGATCCATAAAGAAACAAGTACAGACATAGGGCTAGAACTTTCTCTCAATTCCAAGAGTATGGATTTCTAGCGTTAATAAAATATTTCTGAATCCCTTCAGATGGAAAAGCTTCTTATTCTGTATGCATACATACCTAGGTAATTGATGGCATAGGACAATTATATCAAAGAGGCTTTTGAGTGACTTTTTTAATGCAAGACCATACTCTAAATTCTGTGAAGAAACACAAATATTTAAATAGTCCATGTGCATAATTCATATTTACTACATAAATACGGTGAATGAAGTACTAGTTTATCTTGAATCTTAAATTGTTTTTAACATTGAGATATTCCAAAGAAATGCCATTTATAAAAATAAACCTGGCTGTGTCAAAAAACTAAGATTGTCTTTGAAGAGAAGAATGTCGAAGTGGTTCATTTAAGAGAGTTTACATTTAATAGCCTCATTTATTCCTTATTTCCATTGTGATGGAAGTCACACATGCAGGCTTTGTGATTCACACTTGGCTAGATGTGAAGATAGGGGGAGGTTTGCTTGCAGAAGTGTCACTGCATTTCTACGAACATTTGACAGATTCCCTCCTAAGACAAAAGATAGAAGATTTCTCTTCAAATCCAGGAAGCATTTCCTATGAACACCAAGTATTAAGTATTCATGTAAGCAAAATTTACACAATATCGATAGTTGTTTAAATGTTAAGGAATGCCCAAGAGTTTGTTATATTTATGCTTTTGCCTCTTTTATCTTTTAAAATAATAAATACTTACATTGTGCTTTTGTAATTCCTCCTAGTGCTTTCTTCATCCCGTCTGCATTCTATTTGGCACTTATTTACTAGTTTTCAAGAATTATTTATTGTTTTTCAAGAATCCTCTTAAGATTCACAGAAATATAGAGAATGTTTATAAATATTAGTTGTTTCAATGACTCCCAATAAAAATTATAAAACTAGATACCTCAATTTTATTGCAGTAGACTGGTTTCCATACTCTTAATTTCAAGAAAATGTATAGCACTGGTTTTTGGTGAATAACATTATTGATGGTTTTTCCATAATTCTTTGATAAAAGGTTATTTAAAATATGCATAATTTGTTACTAGTTCCCTCTTGCACAAAATCGATGACTATGTATCTTTAATACATGTAGGGATTCTGGCTCTCTTTGCAAAGCTCTGTAATTAAGGTCCTCAGTGATCATGGATTTCATTCTAATGGAGGACATTTCTCTTTCAGTTACTATTACTTCCCATTATAGGGATGGCCTATCAACTTTCTCATTGCACATGGCTTAAACCTTTTGTGTATTCAGAATGTCTATGATGATTTTGGGAAAGAAGAGTGGTAGAGGGAAAGGAAGAACAAATCATAGTATATCCGAGTATTTAAGTCTTGGCTCAACTACTAAATAGCAAACTACTTGACCAATCTTAACCTTGATTACTTCGTCATAAACAGTGACAGTAATAAAACTTTCTCAGGTTTTCTAGGAGGATTGTTTTGTAAAATAAATGAGATAATCATGTAAAATATTTTGAAAATTATTAAAGGATATATGTGTATAAAGTGGCTTCATCATTTTCTATTTCTGTATAAAATAAAACATATACAGTTTGACTAAAATATTCATGGCTTGTGGATAAGTCAGGCCCTAAGCAAGGTTGTGAAATTATTATTAAAGTGTGATTAGATATATTAATCAGGTTGGGCTAAGTTATTCTGCATAATAAACTCAAAATCACAGTGGCTTAAACCAAAATGGTTTATTTTTCTTCCAAGGTAGGTGTCCTTGGAGAATGATCTGGGAGATCCAGACCAGTGTCAGAGCAGCTACCTTCTGGACATCCCATTACCATGTCAGAGGGAAAAAGGACAACAGAGAGTCTTTCATGGAATAAAAGTGGGATGCATTATTTTCATTCACATTCTTTGGCCAGAACTAATCATTGGGTTCACCCAACTATTAGCGTCACCAGAAATGCAACCCTACAGAGTGTCCAGGAGGTGGAAGGTAGGAAATATGTACCTCTAATGACTGACTACCTCATTAAGATTCTATAAGATCCTCAACTTACATTGCATGTCTTTCTTCCAGATATTTAACATGTGTGTCATTTTTATAGAATGCAGAATTGTAACAATACACACACACACATGCACATGCATGCACACTGGATGATGGAAAATGAAGGTATTTTATTTCCTAAAAGACATCTCTGTCTGGTATCAGGCAAGTGGGGGAGGAGCGGACGGGTATATACATACATAATGAATGCGATGTGCACCAACTGGGGGATGGGCATGCTCGAAGCCCAGACTCGAGGGGGGAGAGGGGGCATGGGCAATATATGTAACCTTAACATTTGTACCCCCATAATATGCTGGGGGAAAAAAAAAGACATCTCTGTATTGACTCTTAACAATAATAATAACCAAAATCTGCAGAAATCCAATCAATGAATCCTTTTTCTTTACTTTTTGGAATCCTGGGATTTAGTTTCTCTGTTCTTGAGAATGGTACATTTAAGCAAATGAGACTGTTTCACAGTGCAAGTCACAGCAAAGAGATAGTTTGTCTTTTATGAAACAGGAAGCTGGAATAGATGTGTTCATTTCTCATCATTGAACGAGCGCCTCACCATGGATATGTAAAGTGTTCTGAGGGTACCGTCTCTCAAAGTAGGAGCTCAAAGTTCTGGACTTCAGGGCGTCACACAAATACTAACTTGGAATAATAGAATGTGAAGTTAAATAGAACAAAGTTATTACTTTTATTTCCCTGCTATTGTTACAGCTGTTGTTTAACCAGGTGGTTCATACAAAGTATTTTTTTTCTGGCTTATAATAAACTTTCTTTTTTCTTTTGCTGCTTTCTTTTAAAATATTGTTCATTTGATAGTCTTTTTTTTTCAAAAAGACAAATACATAATAACAATTTGTCCCATACATAAATAGCCTTTCATGGTTTTTAAACTATTGTGATTTTTCAAAGGCCAGCATAAAACAAACCAAGACAAGCAAAGATAACATTTGTTGAAAATTGTTTGAGACAAAGGTTGACTACTTTTTCTCCTGGTGATAATCTAAAATATGGCAAGAACCTTCCCACTTCCCTGAAAGCAATGGCAGCCCATCAGTACCCTGAATGACAGTGATCACAGTCTTTTAATATCCTAGCATATAATAATTTAACAGCCCCACAGGATTTTTCAAGACTTTAATCCAAGTGAAGGCAAAAGTTAACAACAAATTAAATATTAATAATGGTATGTAATATGTAGACAATTAAATTGCGTGTGTGTGTGACAAATATTATAGGTGAATGAACATACATGAAAGACATAGAATAGTTAAAGGATTTCTCTTTGTTCCTAAATAGTGAACTAAACAAGTATTGACTTCTAGCTTCTTTTTCAAGTACTAGCTTCACACGTAATTGGTAGTTTTCTTGTTATATTTAACAAACCATAAAAATATTAACTATTTTAAAATTAATAAAATTGACTCTTAAATTAAGATACATCTGTTTTTGATTATTTACATCCAAGTTGCAGGTTTCTTAAACACATTCCTAAGTTTAACACAACACCAAAATGTTTGTTAAAAATTATTTTTACAACAAAAATTACTTATTATGTTAATATTATGTTAATATTACCATTGAGTATTGCTTTAGTCAAACTCAGGCTTATGGATCCTAGGAATTATATATAAACTTCAAGTGTTTTCTTTTATATTTTTGTGTGCATTTTGATAGATAATATAAAACTTTAATCTGTGATCATGTTGAATTCTTTTACTATTTGCAAAGAGAAAACTTCTCACTTCAATGTGCTTTGCAATTGAAAGACTTTTATTGAATAAGATTTTAGTGTCCAATATTATTCAATACATTGAGAACTGGCAGCAATAAAATAGTGCAGGTGAGTGAGAAAAGAACAGAGGAGGACTTAGTATGTAAATAATCCATAGGTCATAGGTCATCAGGATGAGCTGTAGTGGGGAAGGTCTTTCAAGTGTCTCAAAGAGTAAAGTTAGGGGAGAAGGGATTCAGTCCAGGGAACAAAAATTTTTGTTCACATTCAATTTTAAAGAAATGTGTTATAGCAGACAGTATTATATTCAGGTTGCAGATTTTAAATCATTATATCTAGGCTCAAACACATCTTTATTAATCAAAATAGAGACCATGATAATCAACACATTTTTGCCAATGAGAAATAAGTTTGTTTATTCCTATAGTGTAAAAATCCGTGCTTTGGGATTGGATGAACTCTTGGAAAGCATTTTCTGCATCCTGCTGGTTGTGGAGGCATTTCCCCTGCAGAAAGATGCCGAGATGCTTGAAGAAGTGGGAGTCGGTTGGCGAGAGGACAAGTGAATTTGGCGGAGGAAGCAAAACTTTGCAGCCCAATCCGTGCAGCTTTGGAAGTGTCGGTTGTGCGACGTGAGGTCTGGCGTTGTCCTGGAGAATCGCGCCCTTTCTGTCGACCAGTGCCGGCTACAGGCATTGCAGTTTTTGGTGAGTCTCATCGATTTGCTGAGCAGACTTCTCAGGATTACAGAAAAGCTGTAGTGGATCAGACAGGCAGCAGATCACCAAACAGTGACCATGACCTTTTTTGTGGTGCAAGTTTGGCTTTGGGAAGTGCTTTGGAGCTTCTCCTCTGTCCAGCCACTGAGCTGGTCATCACTGGTTGCCGTATAAAATCCACTTCTCCAGGCACGTCACAATCCGATCCAGAAATGGGTTTGTTGTTGTTGTGTACAATAAGAGAAGACGATTTTTGTTCAAAACGATTTTTGTTTTTTGGTCAGCTCATGAGGCACCCACTTAGCAAGCCTTTTCACCTTTCCAATTTGCTTCAATGTTGTCATGCAAGATGAGGACAGTGATTCTTAATGACCTCATTTGGGCTGCTGTCATTTTATACTGTATAAGCCCACCCTCAAGTTAAGAAAACAACAACAAGAAACACAGCACTAAAAGTGCACAAAGAGGCACTTGTCCGTCACGTGGAAGTTAGGATTTTATTCTAAATTTAACAGAAAGCTCCTCGGAGATTTCAAGCCAGGAACTAAGGTGACCTGGCTGTTGTGTGAACAGATGGTATAAGGATAAGAAGTGGAAAGTGGCAAGTCCAGTTTGGAGGCCATGGCAATAGTCTAGGCAAGAGAGAGGTTCAGGGTTTGAATCAGAACTTGGGTGAAGTTTAGGGAGGAAGAAATGTGGACAGGGAGAAGAGGCGGCAGTTAGTTGGTGGTATGAAGCGTGGCCATAGGTTGGGTGAAGGGTCAAGATCATGGCAAAGTCTTCCAGGAACCGGTTCTGCTCACTCTGTCAATCATTTCCCCAACATTTTTCTCACTCTTTATTTTTTCCTTCATAGCATTGCAACAATTGTAACGATTTATTTGCATTGTAAGTTGTTTAGTATCCAGTTTTTCTATTTAACTCTAGGTATGGTGAGGGTGAGGACTGTGTCTGTTTTGAATTGTATGCTCAGCACCTCAGTGCCTGACACAGGTCAGCTTTCATTAAATTTGTATTAAACTAATGAATGAATGCACCTTTTACTTAAGTCTTAGGGAGAAAATATGTAGTAGACAGTGTTAAGTCTTGTATAGATCTCCTTGTGTCAATCTCAAAATTTTAAGAAAAGATAACAAAACATGGTGTTAAGTTAGATGTCATTTATATATTCTAGGCAATATTTAGATTAGCCAGATTAGCCACAATAAGTTTCCTAGGTCTTTACTGGAAATTGTACATATTATCTGGATTATAGCTTTTCCTTATATCAAGTATCTATCTATCTATATCTATCTATCTATCTATCTATCTATCTATCTATCTATCTATCTATCTATCTATCTATATATATATATATGCCTTATAAGCTCCTAAGATCAATTACCAGAAAATTCCTTTTATTCCTAGGGAAGCAGGAATAACATGTTCTCACTCATGCTGTCAGAAGTAGCTGGTTTTGAGGGTGGAATTTAAAGAGTCTAATTTTCTTCCCTTAGAACTTATTTCTAACCCCTGGCAATACAGCTACCCTAAAAAAATTAAGCCTTGATAATAGTGTTTGCAAGGAGCGTGTCTAAACTATTTAAGAGAATAAAATCTAAAGATAGCGTTAATAATTAATAAGCAATGATAAATCAGAAACTGTATAAGTCAGTCTCTTTTATCTATTGTCAGTTCTTCTCAGGTTATTTATATGATATCACTTTGTTAACCTACTTTTGATGTCTGTGTGAACATAATAAAACTGTAATCCTTTAAATTATTTCTCATAATTCAGAACGCCATCAATTTAGTGCTCTTCCTTTTTCACAAGTCTAGATTTTGCTGTAATTTTACCTTTAATGAAGGCCAAAACAATAGGAATTATTTGATCTCTGTATCTATTAAATCATGCTATTATTAAAGCCAATAATATTAACAAAAGAAAATTCTTGTATTTCCCATCATCAAATTGTTGAGAAATTGCATGTTTATTGGGACACAAGCTTGATAAAAGGTTTTGCAAGAAAACATATAGTTCAATAAACCAAATATATTTAGGTTTTAGAATTAAATTATTTACATTGAATTATAATTAATAAACTGGTATTTATTTTTCATAGCATTTGCTATCAGCCAACATTCTATTTTAATTTGTGTTCATTTATGATATGCCTATATATGACATACAGACTTAATATTAATTAAAATATATGTCATGTTAAAAATTCCCTAGTAATACTTTCTTTCCTTCTATATTAGGTAATTTAAAAGACATTTTCAATTTTTTATGCCTATATTAAATAAATGAGGTCCACCATAATCTACTCTGTGTAGTCAATTAGCCTAGTTAAGTTTCTTATAGACACTAACATGGGATTCATTGCAATGTTCTAAAAAAGTGTAGACAGAATTGTACATATATGTAAACATTTATTTTTTGCCCATTTTATGACCATTCCAGTGATAGATATAACAGACTAGAAGCTAGAGCTTTGTGGCAGAAAAAACAAGATTAAATATTATCATCTAGCTGAAATAGTAAAATTGCTAGTTTCCTCTAATTAAAAAATTGTAAGCTTGTCTCAGCTACAAGGAGGTAAATGCTGCTCAACAAGAATAGCAATGCTTGAAAGCATAATAAATTCTCTAGATGCAAATAAATTATCCTTATTAGGCAACTTGTTCTTTTCATTGTTTCTATTTATTATTTCACTTAGTAATGAATAGTATAGTCAATTTGCAAAGTAATGAACAGTTTTATAGCACTAATAAAAATAATATAGGCATAGTTTTTTTTTTTTAAAGAGAAACCAGAGTTTTGCATGGTATCTTTTATAGTCTAGAAATAGGAAGCAAATTTCCAGTTCTAGATTTTCTTATCACCAGCTTCTTTAGAAATGTTTCCCTTTTCTACTTTTTAGAATACATTTGCAAGAGTCTGCATCTTGCTGAATATTTTTTATTAAAACAATTGCAATATTTGCAAGACACCATTGTCTCATGTTAAAATATTAAAGCTAAGTAAACATGCAGAAAAATGAAATTACTGAGTTACTGAATTGTGACTGTAGATATGCCCTAAGCCAGGGAGGTTTGGTAAAGAAAGCTGCTGGGATTTAGTATGTTCTTGTGACATGTATTTTTAATGGATGTTGTGATTGTATTTGTCATCTCAGTTTGCCATAACAAAATACCACAGACTGGATGGCTTAAATAAAAGAGATTTATTTTCTCAGTTTTGTAGGCTGGGAGGTCTAAGATCAGAGTGCCATCATGGTCAGGCCCAGTGAAGGCCTGGCTTGTAGACCACTGCCGTCTCCCTGTGTCCTCACATGACAGAGAGAATACAAGCTCTCTAGTGCCTCTTCTTATAAGTGCACTAATCCTATCATAAGGGCCCCACCCTTATGACTTTACTTAAGCCTAATTACTTCTCAAAGGTGCCATCTTGAAATAACAGAACATTGGGAGTTAGGGCTTCAACATTTGAATTCGGAGGGAACACAAACATCCAGCCATGACAGTGATATATTCCAAGGAAATCCATTAAGCAAAAGACAAATGTCATTTAAGAGAAAGAGAAACAGAGAGAGAGAGACGGATTGAAAGATTGACCTTTGCCTTTTATAATGAAGATTCTAATTGTAAACAATTGCCACCTCTCATCAGTATTAGTGCAGTGGCAAGTAATACTAGATATGTGTATCATGTGTAATAGAAGACATAGTGAGAAGATTTAGTAAATAGCAGATTCACAAACTTTCATTGGCTGCACCATGTAAAGGGTGCTCATAAATATTTTAAAATATCTAAACCTGCTTTAAAAATTTTTAGACAGTACTTCTATCTCTTCCATAGATTATTGGCAGCAACAATCTTTAATAAGGTTTTAAAGCCTTTCTTTCTATTCCTGCCTTCAAATTGATTGGAAATAAACATAACAGCATTTACTTATAGGATTTTGGAACTAGAATGCCTTTATTTATATAACAGGAAACTGATGCTTTATATCCACTTAAAAATGTTAATTATCCTTTTCATGAGCCTTTTCTTGTAGAAAAATAGGACAGCGAAAGGAAGAGCCCCAGGAAGGAGAGAGAGCAAGTTGGAATAAACAAAGAAACAGACAAATGCCAAGAGAAAGAACTTTTCCTTAAATTCCTTTTCATAAATACTTTTTTCTCTGTCTGAAAACTAAATAAAATCAACATGTCTGTCTGGATGCTTTGCTTTAATTCCTTGGAAAATCGGATTTTGAATAAGTCTTGAGCCAAGTGTTTTTGGCAAAAAAATTACTTCAAATCAGTTTACTACTTAATAAAATGGCTTAATTGATTTATTATTCATATGGATAATTTTCTTATAAATCTAAAAGAAGTAAAGTCATATACTATGTTATTAAATGTGCTTTTTTCTTTTTTTGAGACAGAGTCTTGCTTTGTTGCCCAGGCTAGAGTGAGTGCCATGGCATCAGCCTAGCTCACAGCAACCTCCAACTCCTGGGCTCAAGCAATCCTACTGCCTCAGCCTCCCAAGTAGCTGGGGCTACAGGCATGCGCCACCATGCCTGGCTAATTTTTTCTATATATATTAGTTGGCCAATTAATTTCTTTCTATTTATAGTAGAGATGGGGTCTCACTCTTGCTCAGGCTGGTTTCAAACTCCTGACCTCGAGCAATCCCCCCGCCTGGGCCTCCCAGAGTGCTAGGATGACAGGCGTGAGCCACCATGCCTGGCCTAAATGTGCTTTTTAAATAACTTCCACCCCACTTTCAGAATAAATGTTATTCAGGCATGGGTTTGCTATATTAGAGATAATATGTGGAAACAGATAACCTTACTTTGCTAATATTACAGTATTCAGGTTTATCAAATGGTAGATTTTTACATGATGGGCGATCAATAAACTAATTAAAATATATTTTTTAAAAAAGGTAAAATTCCTGTAATTTGTACATTGTAGAAGGAACACCAACCTTTAGTAATAGCGAGACTATCA